AAATGTAGTGAGTAAAAGTATTCAGTGACAGAAATACTCAAGTACAGATACCTAAGAAAATATAAGTACAGTAACAAATGTGTTAATTATGTTTATTGTATTAAAACAAATGAATAAAATTTTATTATATTATATTATCATATTTATTATATTTTATTATACAGAACTACTGCAACATTACTAAAACGTTACCAAATGTTTTGGTAGTGACCGTTTCTGTTGTGACAATTGTATCTTATTTTGAGCATTACTGAGCAACTTAAAAACTAGAAAATAGATCATAACACAATCCTTGTAAATATCCAAGGTCTTTAAGTTTTTTTTTTCTTTACTGTGGGACTGTAGTTTGAGATAGTTAGAAACTATTAAAAACATCCCCTTAAGATGTTTTAGATGCACATGATAAAGAAATTTGCAAGGTACTTAAGGTGTGTTTGGCTAGCTTTGGCTATTGTTAGCGAGAGCTTTGAGAACACCTTTTGTTGGAAGGACATAGCTGTAAATGGTTTTAAGACTTGAAGGATGGAAGAATTAAAAGGGCAATAAAGAGGGACAAAGGACACAAAAGTAAAATACTGAGATCTTTGAGATTATACTTAATGTTGGAAGCTTATGTAATTAGTAATTTTCTGTTAAATGTATGTTTTCAATTTTTTCTGAGACTGGAAATCAGTGACGTAATGTCTATTTTCATTGGAAATTAAATAAACAAAAGAATGACCTTTGCGTAGTACTGTACACATAGCACATTCAGCAAAAACTCAAAAAGAGGTTTAACCCTTCCAAAAGTACAAAACTTCTTGCTAATGTTTCAAATCTGCTCATAATTGAGTTTTTCCATAAGCCTGTTACTACCCAGGCATTCACACAGTGATCTAGGTTGGTTGTCATGCCAACGCAGCAGCTCTTAGTCAGCCTATCAGAGTCATGAAAGGATAAACACACCTCTCATTTATCTAATAGGTTTGGCTTTGCATATCCCTAACACACATACACGTATTCACCCATGCAGACACATCAACAGTTGGGAAGTCATCCATGAGGCTGGAGTAATCTCAGCAACCATCAATTTTACTGTGCTCAGAGCTGTCGATGTATGAATAAAGCATGGGCAGAAACAGCACTGACATCATACATTTTCACAAACGCTTCATTTGAATGAACATGTGTTTATACTATTACACATGTCACAGTCAGAACAAAGTAGTCCAATGTCCCATGCACAATGATATCAGAGCACCACAATAAAGACAGCATGGAGCTTCAGACTAGTTAATAGGGATGCACTGATACCACTTTTTACTTTCCAATATTAAGCTAGTTAGGTTAGACAGAGCTAGAGTGTAAATAAATAAATAAATAAATAAATAAACAAACAAACATTCACATTCACATGGTGGAGTGGCGTGATATTACCCAGAGTGTGGAGCGGCTTTCAGAAAGTCAGAGCATCAATGTTCTTTCTCACTCCAAATCACTCCTATACCGCTCCATCCAATAAGCCAGTCTCTTTTTTCTTACACTGACCACCTCTGTGTGACGGGTGATGCGGCAGTGTGACTTCTACAGCTTGCACATGCCGGCTATTAATAAACAGTGTTTGCTGCAGTTTGCGCTGTTCAGTAAACCTAAACTAGAAAATCTCATTGATTGCAACAAAGTTGTACTGATATTGCACATACTTAGTCTTGTGTCATCCATTTTTGGGTGCGAATAATAAAGAAGACTGTTTCAAAAGTGCATTGAGTGCATTTCTTTACCCTAGGCAGTTTTCTGGCATGTGATTGGCCATTGTTTGAAGCCTACTGAAAAAAGCCTGTGTGGCACAGAATAATTAACTTGTTTTTCATTTAATAACAGCCATAAATTATATAATTCATTAAATGAAATGCACAGTGTCTTGTCCATACATTCAACGTAAATAAACCTAAATAAATAAATAAATATTACAGAGAATGGATCACATAAACCTGTGGTCTGTACACGTAAGCATGCAGCGCTTTTCTGGCTCTGGAAAAATGGTGCTGAACGATGTTTCACATCCAAATTTCTCAAGTCATTTATCTCATATGTACTTACATCTCCAAATATTAGACTCTGCTGTAGTTCAGTAAATATTACTGTCATTGGACATTGTCAGTCCAAGTTCAGTGGATTTCTCAGGTACCAGGCCATGAGATCACGCCGCTGATTGGATCAGCTGACTGATGCAGCGCTACAGACGGAGCTAGTGGACACACTAGCATGGCTAGCTGCAATGCTAAAGACTAAACCTAGCCTAAAGGTTATCGTTACCCAAAGAGACGGGCGGTTCCTTCCATATGTCTCTCTAAAGTTCACTCTCTTGGTAACGACCTGTACTAACATTAATTAAGGGGTTATCTGGCTTATTTATGGCGTACCAGTGGAATAAATATCTTAGAAAAAATTCCAACTAGTATATCACCCACTACCATCGCCTTCCCACGAGTTACAAATTTCACCATGAGCAGTTTTGCTGTTGCTTGTAAACTGCTGAAGTGTTGTTAAGTTCCATCTACAGTCATGCATGTGTGCATCACTTGGTAGCAAGCGTGTGCATCAGAAATTGCTTTTTAGTATCGGTATTCCTACCATTCCTGCATTTAAGTGCCAGTAGATACCAACAGTGCCATAGATACCAGTCAGGAACCAGCATCAGTGCAACCCTCCTAGATAGGGCTGAGCCAGGAAGGTTTTGATTTTATTTTTTAAATGCTTACTACTAACATGAGACCAGGTAGATCTTGATGGGAATATGGGAAAAATGAAATTGATATTTTAAGAATTCTACGACAAAAAAAAAATTGTTGAAATTACTACAATATACTGAAAGACTGCAAAATATGAAAGCATACTGGGTGACTCAAAGTTCTTGACCTCCTTCAACAATCCACGATTGCTTGGGAACAACATCATACTCCAAACGAACTAGATTCCTTTGTGGAAGAACTGTTTATTGTGATTGTAGCAATTATAACTTGCCTAAACCCCCCTTACCTGTGATAAATGAGTAATGTAACAGTGTCTAATGAATTAATACTTTACCTAAGCTTTGATCCAGTAAAGTGTTTTTTGACCATGTATTTTTGAAAAGCTCAGTTATATCAGTTTTCTAGCTAACATACATTCTTGTATTTCTATTATGTTTCTATTTCCAGTGTTAACTTTCCTCATACTGTAGCACCAGAAGCACAAGCTAAACTGTCAGCACACGTCAATCTAAATATTATTGTTACACAATATTTAGTAAATCATCTTATGTAACAAATCCTCAACATCCTCAACTGTGTTTCAGATAATATCCATCCATCCATCCATGTACTTATATTTTTCATTCAACAAGATCAAAGAGGAAATTAAAGAATGATGGGAGTTGACACTCGGTACACTCTTTAGACCACTGACCTCTAAACCCACCTGCCTTCCCATCCCCCACCGTTCTCTTTCTCCATTTCCACTCCCTCTCTAATCTCTCTCTCCCAACCTCTCACCATGTGTTCAAATACCAGATGCAACATTCAGCAGATTGTTCTGCTCTCTCTCTCTCTCTCTCTCTCTCTCTCTCTCTCTCTCTCTCTCTAACACAAACACACAAGCTTGTATTGCTGTCTCTGCGGAGTGTTTCCATTACCTACTGTATGATAAATGTGGCTGTGCTGCAACTAACCACGACACTTATGTTAACCCAAGCAATTAAAAGGAAATCTTTTGATTATTTAATATAATTATTTATCAATGTATTCTATTAAAAACTGCAAAAATAACAACAACGAATTTTTTTCTGTAGGAAGGAGCCAAACGTCCCAGCAAAGCCAAAATTTTCATGTTTTTTCATCAAAACAGGGACATTCAGTGTCTACAAAGCAAAACACACACACACACACACACACACACGGGGCAGAAGGTGCAAGAGATGAGCCAAAGTTTTTGGTATTACATCAACGGCAGATGCCCATTTGAGGCAGTGCAGTCATTTGTGGGTAGAGCTGAACAATTGTGTTCATATGGAAATCTCAGTTTGAAAGAGTGCAATTTTCAAATTGTAAGAGCTGCATTTTTTAAATTTTTCAAGCCTGAAAAAAATAAACGTGCTGGTGTTTTAGGTGAAAAAAAGCCTGTAGATTCATTTATGCAAAATAATTACATTCAACTTGCAACATTGGTCAGAAAATCACAATGAAGTATTTTCCCCAGATTGTTCAGGACTGTTTGGTGGGGGAGCAAGTGCACACAATCAGCTTTAGTCTGACTGATGGGTCTATGGATGGGCTGATTTAGAGCTAAACACATACACTTCCATGTTACCCGTAGATAAACAAATGTCAAGCTGATAGCAAACAAAGAAAGCAATGCATTGAATGTGCTTAATTTCCACATAATAAATAAAACGCCAACACATTTCTGTCCTTCAGACTACTTAATTTTTTTTTTTTGACAATAATATAATGCACTTCATTCATGTGGAAGCACATAAATCCTACCATTAAATAAACTAGCGAGGAACTAAAGGTGATTAGTTAAACGAAGTGCTTCAGGTGCACAGAGTCACAGCACTTCAGCCCGTTTGTCCACTTAACACAATCACGATATAAAGGAGCTGTCAGAACAGCACATAGGCAGTATTAGTGAAAGAACCCATGAATGTCTGACAGGTCCTGAAGCTCTGCTCCCATTTCCCACACAAGCTAAAAGCCCGCTAGTTTCCCTCAGGCGCAGGTTTAGCCCGCGAGCAGCTCAGACTCCTGCTGATGTTTACAGTATGGAAACAGAACTTCCGCAAGGCTGCATCTTTATCAGACACTGGCTTTTATAAATTAGATATCGCTGACTGACAGTATTACACTGACCAGACGGGATGGGCTGAGGTGAAGAGTGACGCTCTCGGCGCAGTAACGTCAGCCCGGGGCTCGAGCTTAAATGACAGAATTAACCGTTAGCGTTATGGCCGTTAGATTAACGTTAATGCTGAAGTTACTCACCCACGACACGAGGCGAAGAATCGTTTGCGGTTGCTGAAAGAAGGCCAGTGGGTCGAAGGCACCTCCAGCCTTTCCCGCCCCGTACGCCTGATCCATCCTCGGCAGCGCTGGTCCGTCACCTCTCCGTTTCTGAGCGTTTGTTTTCCCGTTAATTCGGTGCGGTTTAACGGTCGCGCTCTGGACGGTTGACCTTGGAGATGAAAACCAACCGTCCTCCTGTCAGAAACGGTCGCTTCCACTCTTCTTTCTCACTGTTTTCTCTTTTTCATCCAGTCTCGGCTTTACCTCAGAGCCCGTGCCCGTTTTCTCTGTAAGTCTCTCTCGCTCTCTCTAAAAGGGTGGAGAGCGCGGGGTAAACACGCGCGCGCACGCGCTCTCTCAAGCTTCCACGCGCGCTCTCGCGGGCAACTGCGCGTGTCATAAGCGATGTAACACAGCAAGAAGAGGCAGATATCGAGAAGTAGCTTCATTCAAGTGGTAAAAATGAGTAACTATGATATTTCACACAGAATCATAAATGGGAACCATTCAGACCTACGCGTTGAGGAACTCAGGAGAAAAGCATGCAAGACATCAGTTATTTCCTCTTTTAATATAAAAATAACCACTTTATTCCTCAACCTTCAGTATGCATCAGTCAGCCAACTCAATCCGATTATGTTAATTCGTAAATGCACCCTTGTGCCCTCTAGTGGACGATTTACAACAATGACGCATGTGTAGAAAAAGGGCACCTGAATTAATCAGAAGTAAACAAATATGGAGCACATAAATAACCAGAATTATAATGTCAAATGTTTTAATTGCCTCTAAATTAGTTTTTGTCGTATTTTATTATAACGTAGTTACTCTACGACAAAGAATGTTTTCTTAAAGTTAAAAAAAACGTTGCCATTCTCCCTTCACAGATTCCACACCCTGAGCCACATCAGCGACTCTGTAGCTTTAACTTTTCTTTTAATTGTCTCATTTCAGCACTATCATACATACAGAGTGGCCAGTACAGTGAAAGAAAGTATGAGCAGAGTCCAGTTCAGGACAATGCATATTAGTATGTGATTCAATCAGTGTTACTTTGATGCAAACAAAGGAAAGCGTTTCTAACATAATTACTTTGAGGGGATAAAAAGATTTGACAAAACAAATCAAAACAATAACAAAAAAACAAAGCATCGTTAATTTTTATCACATGTGGCGAATGTGTAAATAAAAGAAAATGAAGCATGTGGTACAATTCATTGACATGTATTTTGTGAGTTGCTATAACTACTTCGCAAGATCTGTCATGTAAAAACTAAATAAATATGACAAGAACAGAACACAAACTTTCCAAACTTTAGAATCACTGTTTTGAATAAGGTATAACCTATCTTGTTGCAGGTAAGTGTATAAAATTATTCTTACATGATTCTAATATTCTACAGGTTTTAAATATTTTGTAGGAAGCTGTCAAATGTACAAAAGTTTTGATGATAGGTGCTTCCATAATAGTTGAGAAAGCTCTAAAGCACTGAGAATTAACTTATTATAAAATTCATATCCTGAATGTCCCACATTTGATAAGCACTGACCAAATCCCACGAATCGAATAGCTATTCATAATAAATAGATAAGCACAGTTTATTAAAATTACTCAGCATTTGCATCATTTACTATTTTTTCCATGTAATAATGTCTTGTAATTCCCAAAATACTTTACATTGTGAATAAACCTGTGAATAAAAATAAAATTGTAAATATGTAGGTGTCTAGTTTATAACATTTTAATCTACAATGTGTTATTTTTGAATAACAATTATTATGACAAGTGATTCCAAACTTTTGAAGGGAAGTGTCCGTCTAAAGCAGAGCTTAATGAATGTAGAACAAATGACTGCTCTTCTTCTGCTGAGACACTAAATATTAGCATTTAATGGATCAAAAAACATATGAAGCACTAACTATATTACTGGTGAAAAACTGTTGTCTAAGTTATGTGGAGGCCTCATGAACACATACACACAATATCTTTTCACACCACAGGACAGCCTTATCAAGTTTTCCCAGTGTGTCACAGGAATGAACCCAAAATCAAGTTATTCTAGGTGTTTCCATAAAAAGCACTACAGCATGTCGAGGCAAGCGAGAAATCAGAGAGCAATTCTCAAACAAAAGGAAAACAACAAATGATCAGGGGCTCCTGTTACATGTTATGATCTACTGCAGCAGTTATTGGTCAAAGTAGGTCAGAAATATAACAGATGTCCTGCAGTAAGTCATTTTGGGCCCTTTGTCCAAGATTGTCATTTTGTCAGTAACATTCTGGCAACTTTGAGCAGAACAGTTTGAGCTCAGTAAGACTATGCTTGATACGAAAAGGCACTTTAAAGGTGAAGAATAAAATGGAGAAAGAAGGCAAGGAAGAGAAAGAGAGAGAGAAGGAGCGAGAGAGTAAGTAAGGAAGCTCGAGTGGGAGAAAATATGCCATAGGAAAGACCTTAAGACATGTTACAATAACATTGCTTTTTTAAATTTGGGATGCTATGGAATTTTTTTTCTCAAATGTGGTTTCACGTCTGCAAAGAGGGATATTTTAAGAGTATCTGAACAGATAAACTTCAATCATTTGTACAAATATGCTGACCAGACGTGACTTATCTTGAACAGAGACAAAACAATGCTGTGACCAGACGTGACCCATCATTAACAGAGACAAAATAAATACATGAGGCCAAAGCAAAAGTAGAAGTTTACTACAGTGTTATTAACAATAAGTGGTTCACACAGTTTAGTAAGAGCGCTTCACTGAGCAATACTTAAACATGTTTTAAAAAAATACTTGATACAGTTCCTCTAGTGTAAATTCATCCATGCATCACCATTCCAAGCACAATGCGCATCACCTGTCAAGGGAGGGAGTCGGTGAAAGAACTGAGTTTCACTTCACTGACACGTGGAAATAAAGTACTTCTAAATCGCAAGTATTTCTGACGTACAGTGCAGTAAAAGGTTAGCGCTAGCGAAGGTAAAACGAAATGAGAAGAGCCAGGCCACCACAGCCTGGTCAGTCACACTCCTTCACTTTTCAACACTGATCCAGCTATATCAAGTGCGTGAGAAGGTGGCTCAGACCATTCTATACCAGGCAGATTTGGAGTACAAATACATCCAGATAGAAGCTGCTCTTTATAATCGGATCTTAAAGAGACACTCTGGACAAAATAAAAAAGTTACCATCACTACATGTGTTGTAAACATGCTTCAGTGGTGCTGCATAGTCTCCAGAGTAAGATTTTCCTGTTCAAAGACTTTGAAAACCCTCTTCTGATGACATATCTTTAAGGTAGGAGGAACGTCTGAAAAACTATCACTGCCTCAAGATGGACTTTTCTGGGTGAACTATTTTGAAACTGTTTTTGTTAGCTGGTGAACGCAGAAGGAAACCTGATAGATAACATTACTGCTAGGAGGTTATCAGATGAGGAGCACAACAAGCTAAAAGCTAACATTAGCAAGGTTGCTACCAGATACCAGGCTATCTAAATACCTTACCTCCGTTTGGTTTGGTTTCTCTAGCTAAAAGTGTAGAAAACCTGCCTGTCCATTTTGTGACAAAAAAACATAAAATCACTATTTTCTTTACAATTTTGTTTGACGACTGAGGTAATAGCTTGGTTGTATGTAATAGCTTGTTTGTATCTATTAGCCTTTATCTCAGTGGCTAGGCTAGCAGCCTGGATTGGCTGGCACCTCAGGGCTGTTTGTTGCATGCTGGATTGTGAGAGAACACTGATGAACGAAACGTTGAAACAATATATAAAATTATGAATTCTGTCAGATTGATGGCGCTGTGGGATACAGTGCTAGATTACAGAATACTGTATAACATGCCAAATAACACAGCAAACTGTAGTTTTAGACCGGAATTCCCCATTTGAATATCTTCCCATTATGCCAGGTAGGGATTTCTAAAGTAAAACCTTTAAAACAAGACTGTAACATGGCAAAAAATTAAAGTACTGACTTAATGCAACATTATTCTAGTTTATTCCAGCCTCCCATAAGTTATCAATTTTAAGCTGTAGCTGGAGCTGATTGTTTCAGTGCATTAACTAGCTAGGCTATTGTCTGTTTACTGTCTTTTAGAGCAATGCTACTTTATTACCTTACATTATAGCGGGATATGCAAAATCAAACAAATGCTAATATCTTGTGAAGGCCTCTGTAGAAAAGGAAGTTCTATTTGATCAGAAGTTATTGTTTCATTATGAAGAATGTGGTAATGTTCCATATATTTGGATTTCACAATCATTTATGTTTCAATAGTCCAGACCTGCGGTCACCGATCATATCCGCGAAGGGATGATGAGGCTGCAGGTTTTTATTCCAACAAAGCAGGAGCACGTCTCATGTAACACAGTAGTTGTTTTAAGACCGAGACCAACTGATTAAACACATGGAATCAGGTGTGCTTCTGCTTAAGTAGGATTAAAACTTGCAGTCACATTGACACTTTGTTGATAAGATTAGTGACCCATGATCTAGACTTATCAACTGAAATTACACTGTCCAACTGATAACTTAATACCTGCCAAAATCAGCCTACCTTACCTGGATTTACACAATACAATAATTGGCAGAAAATAAGTGTATTTGAAGAGGTTAATGTAAAACATCTGTAGAATTACAGTAATCTGAACAAAATCTGCATGACACATACACTGACCGTTTGCAAAATTATGACTGACACATCTCTCAGCCAATCCCAGTTGTCTCTAAACATTTCTTCCTCCATCAAGCGAAAAAAAAAAATTGAAAAAAGTTACTGAGGAAAGTATTGTGCCTGACACACACTATGCTGATCTGAAGGATATGTTGTTTATATTTCATTCTTGAAGCTGAAAATGTTTTGGATGAAACTCTGTGGAGGACCACCCTCACAGCTCAGGGTGAAAACTAATAACAGACTTTCACAGGCTCCAAGGTAAGCTAATTTGTAATCTTTTAATCTTTTTTGTTAGTGTCATTGCTAAAAATACACACTTAATATGATATCTAACAATGAATAACATTACTGAAAAATGTTAAGATCAGTTCTTTAACTATTTCAATTAGCTAACTAGTTAGCTAATTAGCTGCTGAAAGTTAGCAGGATAAATTAGTCAGATTAAGCAGGACTGTAGAGTGTTCACATTTGTGATTTAAACACTGTGTAAGATAAAATATTAATGCACTTGTGCACATACCATTTTCTGTATTCTTTCATTAAAGTTTGCTGAAAGACTGTGTAAAGACAAAGAGTCCTCCTCAGAATCTTATGTTGCTCTGACTAGCTCCAGTGTTAGCTTTAGCATTAGCTAATTTGAAGGGATAACTTTTATCTTCTCCTCATTACACTTGAAAACCTACTGCTGTAACATCGAGAGACTATATGATTACCCTGGTTTGATTAATGTAAACATGGTTTCCAGAACCATTTTTTTGTTCACTCTAATTTGGTGTACATGTATATTTTGCAAGTCTCAAACATCCCATCATCCCGTAAAGCCAGTTTCTTTTTAAATGAATATAAATGCACTCCTCTGTGTGTTTTTAAATGTCAGAATTTTGCAAACAGTCAGTTAAATCTCACAGCAGAACAGTCACTGAAGCTACAAAAAAGGAAAAAAAAGTGCTGTAGTTTCAATAACTCAGATCAGGTTCAAAGAGCAGCTTCTACCAGGAGCAAAATTCATAATATTTGAGTTTGTCATATTTTGAGTAAAAGCAGATTAAACTAATTGACTATGCCACTCCCTTTTGTGAAAGGTATGATTTAAACACATATACACACATCTCTGTGTTTCAGCGCTAATGAATTATATAAAACCAAACCTGGGACAAAGCCCACAGCTTCAGGAAAAAGAAATAAAACACTAAATTTTCTTGATTCAGTCTCTGTTTTGTGTCTCACTTCTTAAGCTGTCTTTCTCTGTTGAGACATTCTTTAAGGCCTGTGGATTACTTCCCAAAGTCAGTTTAAAATGGCTCAAAGACATTCCTACTGTGGAGTAGGAAGGGTCACTAGAGGGAGGAGGAACACCACTTGAGAGGGGTGACATTGACAGTTAACCACAGCAAAGATTAAAAAATGTCAAATAATAAACTAGACTGTAGAAAATATGGCATCCTCTGGTTCTGTGACATGGTGTCAACATCCCATGTGATTTATCATCCTGCTTACATCTGCAGGACATCTACGAAGATGTGAGCATTAACCACTAACCAGGTACTACCTGGCAAGTGGCTCTCACTGCTACACCCAGTTTGCCTGCCCTGATGCAAAGTGACTTCTAAAAGAGTAGGTCATTAGCCACCTCGTCCTTGGGTAAGTGTCGTCCTCTATGTCTTTTTGTGCTTTCGACTGTTTTTCTTGTATTCTTGTTCCTACTGTGACCATAAGTGAAGAGGGGCAAAAGTGTAGACGAAGTGTCAAGAGTGTTACAAAGTATCACTGTCTACTTGACGTTGAACACCATGAGTGGCCTCTCTTCACGCCTCTGCCAAGGGCTCTTCTTATTCTCTCCTTCATCATCTTTGTCATCATTATCATCGTCGTCGGGGCTGGTCACTGAGTCCCTGTGGACCTCAGTGGCACTGCTGCAAGCACTGTTGTCCCGACTGCGCCCTCGGCGGGGAAACGTTCCTCCCCGGGAACATTCTGGGGCCTCGTCCAGCAGTGGTGCCATTGAGCTATCCTCTGGTGAGTATGTGGCCGTGTGGCTTTCACTGCTGCTGCTAGGATCTGTAGTGTCAATGACAGGAAGCTTGGAATAGATCTTGCCGTGGGCCTTCCTTTCACCTCCTTCCTTCACCTTGCTCTCCTCTTTACTCTTCCTCTGCGAAGACCTGCCTGAATTTCCCGGATATGTTTCCGCCCGGTGCTCCTGGGCTGGAGCCCGCAAGGCCTCGTTGCCTAGTTCAATGTAGGAGTGGCGGACAAGGGAGTTGGAGCGACCGTCAAGGGACACGAACCATGCCAGGGGATGCGGTTTCACACCTAGCTCCAGCAGCTTCTTCTCTGTAAGTGCCTTCAACTCCCCATTAACCTGTGCCATGGTGGAGTCATCAAACAGCACAGGGATGTGGACGGCGCCTGTGGAACAAGAGTCTGAAGCCCCGTTCTGCTCTTCAGATCCCTCTCCCTGCTGGTCAGCTTTGTCCTCCTCCTTCTGTGGCTTGGCGGACTGCTGCTGCTGTTGCTGACTCTGATGGCGAGGAAGTGTCATGCTAACCTGAATGCCCTCCATGTCATGCTGAAGCTGCTGCTGCCTCTCCATGGCCTGCTCCACGGCTGAAAGATCTGAAGAGAGGCGCATGTAATGTGCCGGGATGACTAGTGTGGGCACCACGCTGTGGTACATGCTCTCCTTCATCTGCTCCATGGAGTGGCAGAAGATGAGCTGGCCAGGCTGTGTATTCACAGAGCCAGGCCTGTTCAGGTGATCTGCAGCCTGGGAGGCACAGTAATCTGGGGGCTTGCTGTCCCGGCTGTGGTAATGGCCAGCAAATGGAGGCAGCAAAGGTGGGGGAGATGGAGGATCAGAGGTGTAACCTTGGTTGTCCTTGGCATTATGGTGATGGTGATTGTGCCTGCGGTCATCAGAATCTTCGGCCGAGCTGTAGCCTCTGGCAACATCATCTCGCAAGAGCAGGTCCAGATTGTTAGTGTTGGTGGAGCGGGTGGCCTGCAGCGGGAAGCTCTCACCACGCTTGCTGTTCACGCTAGCCTTTGAGTGGTGTGACTTGTGGCCAGAGCCATGTCTGAAGAAGTCCTCCCGCGAGCTGTGCAGGTCCCGGGTGGAGGAGAGGTCAGATTTCACACCATCTGGGTCTCCAGTAGAGGAGGCTGTCTCCATGTGCGCGCTGCTGATGAGATTGAGCTGGGAAGTGGACGTACCCTGGTCTCTTTTGGAGCTCTCTAGAGTGGAGGAGATATGCATTTTACGATGATGCTGTCGGGGTTTCAGGCATCTCCTCCTGACAGAGAAAGGAATGAACCAGATTGGTACAATGTGAAATATGTGTAACTTTACACATTTATAATAAAATAATAAAATATACACCACAAACAGAGTGAAAATGAAAGAGGAAATCCACCAAGTCTTTATTGCCCACACTTAAAGAACTCAGAGGTGGCCTTAAGCTAGCAGTACTGTATCTGCCTCGGCATGGTACAGGTGGCCTCACAGCCAGCTAAAGGCCACTCTCAGTATGAAAAAACATTAAGCCGCATTTAGGCAAATTTAGTTTGATTTGTTTCGACTTGGCAGTTTAAACAGGGATACCTGCAGTAGTAGAGCAGCAAGCAAAGCAGGATTAGAACCAGCAGGGCCATAGAGCCCAAAATGGTCAGGAGGAAAATGGTATGGTATGTGGTGATGTCTCTCAGGCCAGACGTGTTCAGGCCTGTTCCTGGAACAGAAAAATGACATACTATGAGAATTTTTACATTTTTGAGAGACCTCCCTCAGTTGCTCACGTGTAGGGAGGTTGTAATTCAGGGAAAGCAGGACTCACCTGCAGCTGAAGGGAAAGCTGCCAGCCAATAGCCTAAATGTGGTGCCACAAAACTCCAGGTCATCTGAGCACCATCTTTTTTAATGTAGCCGGCACCACTTCTGACCCATAGACCTGCAGAAGATAAACCCAATCAGGTACTGCTTCACAGAGGATCAAGCTAAAGGTTAAAGCAGCTTCCCTGTAATCTGTAAATCTGTAAAGCTTGCAGGTTTGCTAGACCAAATTACACTCTTGATAGTAATTCTTCAGGAAAGAGGCCCACTGGCCAAAATGAAAAATGTAATCATTGCTACATCTGTTGTAAACTTGTCTTCTTGCTTCCTGAAGTGGTGCCCAAAAAGTCTCTAGAGACAGATTTTTCAATTTAAAGACCAAGACAAACCCACTCAGGTAATGTATCTTCGAGGTGGAAGGGGTACCTTTAGAAAAACTACAGTTGCTTTGGGGAAGGCTTTATAAAATGTGCTAACGCATAAGGGAGCCAGATAGCTAATGTTTTTGCTAAGAAATAAAATGTCACTTCTGTATTTATTAACCTCTACATTAGTGTAACATCACTGAATTTCATTCTCACTGTGGATTGATTTCCATTGGTTGTATGATGTTTTTTGCACAATATAGGGCCGATTATGGTTCAACTGTTCTATCATTATGCGGACTATAATTGACCATTTGCAAAGTAACCTTGACACGACACTAAATTAATCATGGTTAGAAACCATCTCTTCCAACTAGAAAATGGAAAACACCCAGAATAAACCTGCAGTGAGAATGGTGCTAGTAGTAAATTAACCAGAATTAATAGGCCATAAGATGTGAAAACAGACATGTAATTCAAACACCCACCCTATCCTAATTTGTTTGCAGTTTTAGATCATTTAATATCGTTTCTGAAGATGAAAAAAGGATTTTGGATTAATCCATGCAGAAGCTCAAAGTCAGAACTATGTAAGGTAAGGTACACTTTACATGGGTGACTGTATTTCCATTTTAATATGTCTAGCAGTTAGTTAAATTTATGATAAGTTACTGATGTGTTATTAGCCTACTTTTTTTTTTTTTGCTCTGGCCCTCTTGACACTGGACAGAGTGTAATATGGCCCATTACCTAACACCCCTAGTGTAATGCATGCTGTAGTGATGGAATACACAAAATTGTGAATTGCTATGAAAATGAGACATCAGTGTTAGTTACTAAAGGTTTAAGAAAGTCAAAAGAAGATGCCATTTAAGGATTTCCTGCTGTAGACCTGACACAGGGCAATACAGAGCATGATATTTGCAGAATGCCCCTGAGGAGAGGTTTAAAGTGGCTTAATGCTGCCTGACAATTCCAGCTTGCAACAGCTTTCTTTTTTCAAACAATATTTTCAAGCTTGGTTCACTTCCTCATGTGCAGTGCATAACGTCATGTAGGGTTATTATAAATCTGGACTTTATTTATGCATTTACAAAAAACAAAAAATAGTACTGATACTAAGTATTATAATTTATACCATTTAGAAAAGGAACACAGTTATTCTGACCACTACTGAGTTTATGCTTCTCAGTATGAAGAGTAGCCAGGTAGGTATAAACCTGAATCCATTCTAACTTTGAAAGACACAAGACTATATTAGGTTTCCATTATGCAGGACTGATTTGTCATGCTTGACAGACTTACCCCCTGTCAGGTTTAGTAATGGCCAATCCTCCTTCCAAATTCTGGCAGCTATCTGCACTAACTTGAAAGCACCACCAATACATTTATCAAATCCTTACAGGCAATTTAACAGATGCAGCCGTATCAAATGTAGGCTCTAACACTGTTACCATGCTGCAGTATGGCCACTAGGGGGTGATGAATGTCCAGTTCAATATAGAGACCTTTGCTCAGTCCCTGTTGGTAAAGTGGGGGGCTTTCCCAACACAGCCCATGTGAAGCAGCCTCCTCCACTTCTTTCAGCTAAGCTCTCTTTTGTCTGTGAACTGTCTCCAAAACAAACAGGGCTCAAAAGGCGACTGTCCCATTAACACAGAAAAACACATGACCCCGCACACGCCCACAACAAATGGCTGCATCATCTTTTTCTTCATAGCAGGACACTTTTCTGAAGGCCAGTTCATTCCGCCCACCCACACATGATGCATATTCATACCCATTTTTCCCCCCAACTCTTAACTGAGCTGTCACAGTCTGGTGGACTGAGAAACGAGCCTCTATTTCATCTACTTCTGTGTGCAATGATGCAGGAAAGCATTAGTGCATGAATAAAAGAATCCTTAGTTTTCCCAGACTAATGGGAGCCCTATGATGATAGCCAGAAAGATATCAAGAAATGTATCCTACATGTTTTACAGGACTGAATGGCAGCACTAAGCTTTTAGCTACTGTTTCTCAGTGCTCCTGGTGCTGGTTTGATCCACTGACAGTCCAGTTATACGTAGGTCTGCACAATATATCATTTATTTATTGTTATAATTGTCTATATTGGCCTTAGTAGTACAAATATAGTAGAATGCTGCAATATACAAACCAATCATAACATGTTTTTGAAGGGCACATATCATGGAAAACCTTTTCCTGACTTTCTTAAAACAAACGAGTTTAATGTAGCATATAAACATATTTAAAGATTCTAAATTCTCTGTTCATATAGTCTATTTATGGAAACCTCAAAACTGAAAAAACGGCTAAATTGAAAAAATGTCTGTTCTGTTTTTATGATGTCACGTTTACATATATTCCCCAATTCAAACTACAACAATTTAGCCTCACCCATCACACCAAAATTATAACGAGTGTCTCAGCTCTGAGTGCTTTTTTTAAAATGAGGTATAATACAAGGCAAACAATCAAACCAAAGATAATTTACATAAATCAGTCTTTACAAAAACAGCCTGTTTAACACTAAGGAATAAAACAAGGTCCGAAACGGGTCATAAAAAATAAAATACAACTCGTCTTGTTACATAAAACCACACAAATATGATAAATGGACTTCAGAAGAAAAAAACTAAAATACAAGAACAATGTAGGATATGGGCCCTTTCATATAGCGCAAGGCACACAATCGCAATACTAGTACTTTGTGCATATGATACATCCCTATTTATAATCACCATCACAGAACACCACAACTTTTCATTTTATATTCATCAGCAAATTTAATTTCATTCACATTTTGCATATTATTAAATTTGTATCATATCATCAATTTATAGACCTGTAAGGCAAGTTTAAATTCCTCCGTCTCATAAACGAACAACAACAAGCATGTTGTAAACACAGTGAGGGTCAACAGGATCAGAGGAGATTTCCCTCGGGACCAGATGCTCCACTGTCAGACATTACAATCCAGTACATATGGATTAGTTATTACTTAATGCCCAGCAGCAGGACATGTGCATGCCTACTTCCAGGCTTAGCCTAGAAGGACATCTTGACAGCTAAATTAAGACAAACCTACAACTGTAGTGCTTTAACGACAGTGACAATTGTGAGGTACAAAATAAGCGCAAATAATTATTTACCATGTCACTTTTTTTGAGAAGCCATAAAAGAGAGCCCACTTTGGACTGTTGCCTTTAGGGCAAATACATATGAGGAAATGAACCAGATAGGCTCCCCTCACCATGAATAGTGGTTTGAACAGTAAGTGATCAGGTTAGACTATGCCATGACTTGTTAATGTAGATATATGATGGAATATAAAAGTATTACTGCCATATGTACACAAAGAAACAGCTCTATGTTTCCTTTGTAAGTACTTTCTTTATACCAATGCATAAAATTGGCAATAGCTTTGAAGTTTCAGTTGTTATTGCCCCCCATTCTAATTTTTTCACATATTTGCCCCTATATTTGTGAAGTTTGTGTCATTTTATGCACCAAAACAGTCATAATTCATTTATACATTTTACATTATACCTTTTTCCAACCTCACCCTTAAGACGAATGTATGCGAATGACCTCTGTTATGATTAGTGGCCCTGTACTGTGCCTCATTCAATAAGCAGCTGCATTGTGAGTGGATACAGCTAAACTGCTGAAGGCTGAATAGATAAATGTGTGAAAATGTGTGGTTTTTCATGATGTCACAAAAACTATGAATTCAGTAACCGTTCGTTTTGGAACTTGTTTACATGCTACATCAAACTCTTAATGAAAAGTTGCTTCTCTGTGACATTGGCCCTTTAAGAAACACATGGGGTTTGCAGCTATATACCATCTCCCAGACAAATGCTGCACAACAGCAAAAATGCCCTTCGGATTGCATCTCAAAATTTGCTATCCTAGCAACAGCGCTAACTGTGCAGGCCTTGTTCTCAGTGCTATTCATGGAGGCTCTCATCTAAACGACTGGGCTAATGGGCCTGCAGGATTAAGACTCCTCCGACTAAGCTGCTTGGTGGGAGACAATTTGAGATTTCTCTTTACAACCAATGGAGGCTAAATGTATAGTTTACTACACATTTTTAAGGGGAATCAATGAATGTGCAATACAGCCAGATTCAGTAAAGTCTACAGGATGCAAAGATTCAAAAGCTGAGGTTGCTTTCAAACATGCATATCAGTGTTTCCACTAGGTTTTTTGGTAACCGATGGTAGACCCTTCACAGCTATGATGAGTACATGCCATCATCAAATGCGTATCTTCATTTTTGTAACACCTGTCGTTTGCATTGTGTAAATTTAATGATGAGCGGACCAATAGAAATGCTCTAAAATCACTTGGAATAAAATCTCTTTACATTATAGGTGAGAGTGTTTTTGCTTTCTCCTGTAAAGTTACCATTTTGGAGATACTTGTTTTTTGTTGGATAGGAACTATATAAATATATAAAGAGAAAGTTCAGTTGATTTACTGAACTATATATATATATATATATATATATATATACACACACACTATGCTTTACAATTAATAATGGGACAAATATTAATTTGAATATATTTCAGTGAAATGTATAAGACTAGTGTTAACAGTTTCTTAAAAACTCTCTATAATGAAACTCTCTTAAAAACTCTCTAAACTTTCTTTAATGAAATGTTATCCTTAAGAATACAATGATGTCTTATTTTGCATTTAAACAATTGAAGAAAGTGCAGCATTGAGCCCATCGATACAGAACACAATTTAAATGTAAATGTCATTATTGAGTGAGTATGTAATTGATGCTGTAATCACAATAATTAAGTAATGTAAAGAACAAGACACAACATCAATACTACTACAACTACTACTACTACTACAACTACTACTACTAATAATAATAATATTAATAATAATAATAATAACATTAATACATCTTTATCTATATAGCACTTTTCTCCATAGTTACAAAATCTCAGACTTCTTTACACATTAAAATAAGTAAAACATTGGACTGATAGAAACACCATGCTCTAAAAAATACTAGCACAATTACAAACAAAGGAGAATGGGCCAAAATACCTCTAGGCATATGTTAGTCTAAACAAATTATTTTTTGTAATCTGGATTTAAAAACATCTATCGAACTTGAATTTCTAATATTCTCTGGAATGCTACTCTGCAGTTCATGAGCTATATAAGTAAATGATCTCCCATCAACTGAACTGCAAATGATCTTAAGTGTTTGCAGTAAGCCTTTTTCAAGTGTTCTAACAAAGTGGAAATTGAACATAATGCAAAATGACAATAATAATTCTACACATTTAAGGTTTAGTCAATTCTCTTTTGAGGAGATAACAATGAGGCTAATGATTATTACTCTTTTATAAGTTGGCAGGCTATTATCCCTCCACAGAGAGACTAAAAACTACCTCTGACTACAGCATTAAATTACAGTCCACTGCAGACTACAGCACTGAGCCCAGTGGAATCCTCCTCAGTGCTCTGTCTGAGAGCTGGGGAACACCATGCAGGTGAGTGGGAAATGAATGCATTTCTGGGTCAGAATGAATCATTGCATGCTGAATCCAAAGTAAGCCTCCCTGCCACATCACTGACACACATTTTTTCTTGAACCAAAAGCACAGCACCAAAGAGACAGCAAAGGTAGCTATCAGCCTCTCCTTCTCTCTCTCTCTCCCAGCATGCACCACATTGCGTAACAGCCTCCTCAGTAAAGCAGAACTGCCATCAGGACACTAGGACTGTAAGTGCTTGGAGCAGCTGGGTAGAGGTGCAGATGGATCTGTGCTTATTCCACTCTACTAGACTGGACCAGGGATATTCCTTAAGGAGTCTCACTAGCATTAGCAATTGCTTCGTGTATTTATTATCAAGGTTCATTTAAGAGCAATCAAGAAACTTGCACAGGAACAATAAAGAGGGATGTCAACTATGTTGATTATAACACACACTTAAAGGATGGTTCTTTTAGGGGTTCTTCAGTACAGAAAATGGTTCTATATAAAACTATGAACACTCACAGAACCCTTTGCATGATTAAAGGGTTGGCATAGTTAAATTGTTCTTCAGATTGATGAAGAGTGTGTTTATATGGTTCTTTATAGAGCCTTTTTGAAAAGGGTTCTATATAGGACCAAAAAGGGTTTTTCTATTATAACAAGCCTGACACTGTAAGAATAGAAGAAACCTTTTTGGTGCTATATAGAACCTTAATGAAAACAATCTACAGCACATTCTCCATGAATCTAAAGAACCGTTTCACGATGCAAAGAACCCTTTAATCATAGAAATGGTATGTTGAATGTTCATGGCTCTATATAGAACCATTTTCTTTATTAAAGAGCCCTTGAAGAACCATCATTTTAATTGTGCAGGCATGCCATTGTACTAATAGAAGAACACTTTTTGGTGCTATATAGAACCCTTTTCAATACGGTTCTATATAGAACCATCTACAGCACATTCGCCATCAATCTGAAGAACCAAGGAACCCTTTCATCATGCAAAGAGTTCTTTGAGTGCTTATGGTTTTATATATATATGTATATGCTCCCCCCAGTACATGTCAGCATAACATTTCTTTTCACTGTTATGCAGATGATCTACAGTGCCATCCCTTAAAACTTGGTGATCAGTGTTTCAAAAAAAGGCATAATGAGTTTATCAAAGATATTAAAACCAACTGTTTCTTATAACTAAACAAAAGTAAAACAGAGGTTATCAGCTTTGGTGTTCCCAATTCCTCCAGAAGCTTGCAGGAAAGTCTACATTGCCTAGAATAACTACATGGCACTCGCCACCAAATGAACAGAAATATTTGATAAACCCCCTTTTTATGGAACTGCTGCATTCTTTACCTGCCCTATCCTCGAACCTCCAGACAGATACGCTCGTGGCGGTCTTGAGGGGCGAGTCCGAGGGAAGGGGAACAGACACATGGATGGGGTCCGAGACCTGGACCTCAGTACCGTTGGGTCCGGTGAGTCTGGCACACACTGCAGCCACTGCAGTCAGCTCTACCCAGCTGTTGTTTGAACCTGACAGAAGAGAGAGATGGAGGTAATCAGACAGCTTGCAATGGCTTAAACCACAGGTTCCAGTTGGCAGGGGCTAATGAGAGCTGAAGTCCACCACTTCAGCTTATATGGAAAGATTCTCCTGCACCAGGGGCCATCAGTTTCTGTCCTGAATTGTGCAGTTCAGCAGAGGTTGGTGATTCTTCTGATCTTCTACACCAAATACTTGGTAATTAACTGATGAGTTGAAAAGAATGTATTAAAACAGAGAAATCACCAAACTGTACTGGGCATCAGGCCTCAGGACTGGAGTTGAATAACCCTGTCCTACACTTTAGTCGCAGTTGTTACTAGCAAGTAGCAATTAAACCATGCAGAGACATTCTGTAAAAAATGACACGTGTGTTTATAAGTAAAACAGGAAATAATTCATTATGGTGTTAATTCAATGAAAAGTTGCATGTAGTTATCCCTACAGAATGTAACTGAATGCAAAAATAATCAATTACACAACTATGTATGACCTAAGTAATGTAAATTAAATGTATGGCAAAATTACAATAATAACTCTTCTTAGAGTTATAGCGATTCACAGATCACAAATTCTAACCGTGTTAATAGCCTGCCTCTTGGCTTTTCCCTCTTTCTCCTGTCCAGGTTAAAGTAAAAGATAACAAAAAAACAGTGACAGCACGTGACTCTGTTATGTGGAGTTAATATGTGTTAGGTGGAGTTTGTGCAGTGTTTGGTTCATGCCTTGTGTATCATTAAGCTGGGAGAGATCGCTAAGCTTGGCTGAGCTTTTTAAAAGCACTGAGTTAACACTCATAAGATGGGGGAGGGGACAGTTCACTGTCAGTGCGAAGTGTGGGACATGTGAAATGGAAATACTCAAGAGGTCTGGACATTGTGCTAGATTTGCCCAGCCTGCTTCTTGAGAGCGGCAGAGAATTTAAGGTTTTCCACCTGTCTGTGTTTAGGCACACAGCGTTGGCTATTTGCAGCATTTAGTGTAGTTAAAGGATTAATGGTAAAAGCTTTTGAGGTCCACTGGATGGTAGGAATGGGTGGCATACTAGTATAAAAGCGTATACCAGTATGATGATGTCCCATGAGATGGATTTTACCATATTGTGGATACGACGATAAGCCCAAAAACGATTAATCACAAACAGCCCCGTCCTTAAATTAAATTTGAACTCCAACAGCTTACAGAAACTGTTTTGTGAAAAATCTGATTTGCACAATTTTCCAATTAGACCAGATGTGGCCAATCAGCCAAGACATGTTTCTGTCCAAATTTGGCTTCTTTAGTCAAGTCAATAATCATCCAATTCCTTTATTTTATTAAGTTCGTGCAGACTTGTCAATGTGGTTTAGAGCACAGTGTGACCTACTGTCAATTATATAAACTTCACACAGTAACTAAATGCCACAGGGAGCCACTTTGGACAACAGGTGTTGTGCTGAAGTCCGACACCCGTTGCATGCACGCAAGGCACTCAGGCATATAGACGATAAATGTTAAGTTTCTTTTTATTTAAAAGCTCTTAATCTTCAGTTTTCAAACAGAAGATGTATGTTTATATATAGAAAGAACAGAAATGTAAGTTATACTGTGTCCTAAACCAGATCTACAAGTTTATGCAAGGCTACTGAAGACCTGGTTGTGGTTTGAGCAGATTGAGAGCAGTTTTTGGATGTATTTACAGAAAAGATTTGGGTGTCTATTGACTTGGAGTGTTTGTTAGCAGTGTTAGCCTTGTAGCTCCAGTTCTAAACTGAAGAAGCAAAATTTAGATACCAAACATGTCTCGGTCAATATACTACATCTGGGTGGAAAATTGTGTAAATATGACTTTTTGCCAAACCATAGCTTTAAATTATTGTTACTTTAAACTTCAATCATTTATTAACTTTGAAAGGTTTATAAAATATAATAATGCTATTTTTTTGGTATAAAGTGACATCATTATTGTCCATCTTATTACATCATTTATACATGGAAAGTTGGAATGTGGTTAGGAAGTGGTTTACTGATGCAATTAGCTTGCTGTACAACGGAAAACTTCAGATCACCTGTGGAGTTGATCTCCAGGCCCAAGGGATAAGGGAAGCCCCCAAGCTCGTACTGACTCCTGGTGGAGGTGAGCATGGCGGAGAGTGCGATGTGGGAGGTGTTGAGGGCTGGACGAATGGCTCTCCGCTGCAGCTGCACCCATGGCTGACTTTTGGAGCCTACAAGACAATGACATAACAGGAACATTGTAAGCATTATATGCAGCAGACTTACTCCTTGCAAAACTGCTGTGGTCTAATTGCCCTCACTGGGACACAAGCTAATGAGCACAGTTTTAAGAAAATCTCATGATTCACAATGATATTAATTCTGAAGGGCCTCACAGCAAGAGTCACAAAGTGCATCAAAATATAAGAAGTGCAGTCATGTTCTACTTCCAAAACTCTGATTGCCAATCTGTCTGAATGTAAACCTGATTTAAAACCAGCAAAGCCAGCTGTGCACTCTGATGAGTCCAGCAGTACAGCAGTTATGCATGTGTCTTGCTGAATAGTAATCCTCTCTGCTCAGCTTGGCCCAAAGAGGAGGGAAAGAGAAATGAAGGCCTAAAAATACACACGTGTCTGTCTGACTACGGGCTGCCTGTTTCGATTAGCACTGGGATAGCAAGCCGCTGATTGGCTCAGACAGCCTGGCTACCGCAGCATAGCTCCGGGTCAGCTCCAGGCACGCTGCGACGCTCCTCCACTCTCTCTCTCTCTCTCTCTCTCTCTTCAACCTTATCTATCAGACTCACACGTTTATTCACTCAGGCCATTTCATTCAGCCATGGCACATACACGCTTAAGTTTCCAGCTCAGTGCATGTCATTGCTCAACTCCCAGAGCATTCCTAAAGCACGAACGCTCAGTAGTTTGAGGCAACTCTCAATAGCTAACTCTCTCTTCATTCTACTATGAGAATCTGAATCTTTTTATTCATGAAGCACAAGATACAAGGAATAGTACAAGGAATTTTGCTTGGTGCAGTGATCAACATGAATTCATATAAAAAATATAATATTTTACATAATATATTATTAAGCTAGTATTTCTAATGGTCCTCACATTACTAAACACACTGCTGTTACAGTTTATATATAATCTGTAGAGTCAATCTACAGAGGACTGATCTCTTTGCACAACTTACATATATATACACTACCATCTCATATGGTCTTGTCCTGTGTAGTTGGAATTGTGTTGTATCTACTCTTGTTCTTTGACCCTAGTTGTGCATTGTTCTGTATGCAATGTACTGTAGTTGGTATTATACTGTGTGTATGTGTTGAACTGAGACCCCTGAGGACCGTATACTGTTCGTACTTGTCTATGGTTGGGATGACACTAAATGTCTACATGTCTCTTAGACTCATGGGGGTGATTTAATAGTGAACTGAATAAGTAAAATAAATAGAGCTTGTATTTTTTTGCATAACAGCATCCAGCACTAACAACAGCTCAGATCACAAACATGACCTCCCAGACAGATACAACAGCTGATTCAGACAGTGTCAGCCTTAATTAGGCTTTAAAAAGCCAAGCAGTAATCTGATGTGCGGTATGTCTACTGACTTCCTCAGGTGGTTTGCCCTGACAGCATTTCCAAGCAAGGACACTAAACTGCATTGTACACAAGCAGAATTGAAGCAGCGAAAGAAAGAAAACTGTCCTCCAGTCCCTCTTAGGACTGGAAGGACTGTGTCACAGCTGGGCCAATCCCCAGTAAACCTGACACTGAAAACTGTGATTACGTGCTAAAAGAACGGAACAGTCTATTTGGGACTGGTCCTTTGCCAAACTGGCAGCCTCCCAAAGAGATTGGCCATTTAGCACAGCAGCAAAGAATCCACTTCACAGTCGGGAATGCTGTGGCTTGTCTCCAGTGCTGAACTGTCTGCTGTCTTAGATGGCACAGATGCTACTGTTGGACTGCTCATATGGGCAAATACTCTATACCACTATGCCATAGTAAACAGTATAATGCTACTACTACTACTAATAATAATAAAAATAATAAAAATAATAATAATAATAACATTGTAATACTATTACTATTACCAAAACACATCTTGCACACATAATTTTTCAGAGTATCAAGTCAAACAATTCCAGGAAAGAAAAACACTTAAGGCACATGTAAACCAACAATTTCAACTTGCAGCACTATAGCACAAGCCACCAATCAAGTGAGGGAAAATGTTGTGCTCGGAGGCCAACAAAAGAGCATGATTTGTTAGTATTCTCCAAAGTGTCACCACTAAACCTCCACGTTTCCTGCCATCAGCTGTGCTAGACTCTGTCTGAAGCCGGCCAAGAGGATGGCTGTGCTCAGCATCACTGATGCAGAAAAAAGGAAGCTCACTGGGGTTAAGGGGTTCCTCAGGGCCCAGTTCTCAGGCCTCTTCCTTTTCTGCCACTAAACAGAGCTCGTCTGTCTGGAACATCAGGAGTGGTGCCAAGGTGAAGAGGCCCTGGCATCGCAGAAAACACAGTGGATTCAAAGCTGGTGCCGGTAACCCCATTAAAAGCTTTAAATTTTCATTTCAGACTTCAAAACATTAACATTTAATAGTTTTAATGTATTGTTTGGAAACTAAGATAAGGACAAATGTGTATAGCAGCAATTATCCATTTCTGAAAAATACTGTGTATTTAAAGACGGTAACAAACTTGTCTGATGTCACTACTTTTCATGATTTAAGTTTGGAATGGATCAATTGTAACAAAACTGAACAACAAACAGGAAAAAGAGAAAATGGATTTCCACAAGACAAAGAGGGAATACCATCTGACAGTGCAATATCCATCTCCCAAATGCTAACGTCCACTGAGAGCTGGTCTATAGAGATTATAACCCCCCCAGGGACTAACAGAGTAACAGGACTCACATTAATCAGAGAAGAGCACTCAACTCAATTCAACCAGCCAATTTATCATCATTTCCATCACAAAGACATCATTATAAGCATTAGTGGAGCTTCTGTATCAGGACCAGTCTGAATGGTATGGATCGTTACTTAGTCAACATGAGCATAGATTTGTGACCTTGAAGCCATGCTGTCAGAGGAGATGAATGAGGGGTGGTGCTTTGTGCTGCCTGGAGGGCAGCTGAGGGACTCTCTTAAGGGAGTGGCCAGCTTCAGGTCAAAGGTGAATGGAAGCATCCCATCTGTTCTCAGAACTACAACCCAGTGGGTGTTGGTTTTGCACCATGAAATTAACTGTAAGTGCTGAGAGTGTGGACACAATATTTATGTCAGTGGCCACATGACAGTTGGCTGCTATTCAACAGATGTATTTGAATAAGAAGTGGTAGGAGAGTTCTTTGTCCTACATCACACACACACACACACACACACACACACACACACACACACACACACACATATATATATATATATACTTTATAGTTAGGACTAGAGTTGAGAACCCTGCCACAAGACCTGTGAAGTTGCTCCTGCTACTGGTACCTGTAGTGTACTGGTAATAAAAATGGCCTATCTTGTGCTTTATCATTTAACCATCATTAACATGCCACACAGAACATTATATAGCAATTCTTATTGTGGAAACATTAACTTTTTCAGTAGCATTTATTAATGAAAAACACCCATAACGAGAATTCTAACTATTTTTCATTACGTGTTATCTAACAGTGGTTTCAGCACTGGGTTCAACACTGCAGATCTCAGTCAACAGACCAAAGCAAAAACCAAAGCTTGTTACAATATTCAGGTACCTTTTTTATGTTGTATGTTGCAGTTTTGCAGTGAACACTTATTGCCCAGTTTAAAGTCTTACTTTTATTATCACTGGATTTGCTTTTTAGCCCATTAGCAGTGTGCTGAGCTGCTTATTAAACAAAACTGACTTCAGTATTCTTCCACGCTTTTTACACTGATACACATGCATACTGCAAAACAAGCATTTTGAGATTGAGTGTTTTTTTTCACTTTTTTTGAGAGATGAAAAAAATCTCTGTCTGCTTCTCCTTCTGCTGTGCTGTGGCTGGGCCCAATATGATTGTTTACAAGCTCCAGTTAGAAGAAGAAACAGACCAATGATTAGATGTGAGAGTGCAGTGGGAGCTTGGGAAAGTTAAGCTGATCTGCGGATCAAAAAAACTTCTGGTGAAACTGCAACTTGTTCAACTGACAGATTCTACGATAACGTCACTGGCCATGTCTAATATCACAGTATCCTGAAATACCAGGACATGTCTAGTTAAGGCAAATGTAAATATAAGAAAGCAGAAAATGCATTTACTGAGTCTTGTCTTGTGTCTTATGAAAACAACAAAAGTTCTAAGTTCTGACTTCATGCTATAATGCCTTTAGAGGGCAGCGGTGAGTAATGGTTGTTTATTTGAGCTCAAGCTGGGTCCATAATCTGGTGGGAGCTACTAAGTATTGACAGCTAGGCAGCAGGAAAGGTCGTCTGCCATTTTGGCCACTTCAGGCTTGAACTTTAACAGCTGCATACAATAAGCGAAAGACAGTAAAACTGTTTATATGGCAATTAATCATCAGCTGAAATGTCGTGAACATATAAGGCCTCCTAACTCCCACTAAAAAGAGATGTCTTTTACTTAGTGTTTACTTTTTAAAATATTTTTGCCGAAGCAAGTTTTCTCATTTTTTTTTGCTAAGGTATTTAAAAGAGAGTTAAATCTGCTGAGTATGATAAGAAAATACTTGCAAACCTTTTCAAACGCTGTCTCATAAAATGCATTGTTTTTCATTATGTAACAGCATATGCTCCCAAACAGTTCCTCTGACCTCCTTTGAGATAAACTAAGACCTATTGTGCTGCTGTCTGTTGACTGTTGCCAAGCTGGCCTCTTTGTATAAGCCATTTCTGGCTCACAGCCATAGTTCTAGAATTAGAAGGACTTTGAGACTCTTGTGTGTGGCCATCTTGCTTGGAGTTTTGAATTATAGCATTAAATGTAAACCTTATCCGTGTACCATGTGTGCCATATATGTTAAAAGGGGCTACACTTGGCAGCCATTCAGTCGAGCTTGTCTCTGGGGTTTAGCATGCCAGACACATACTCTCACTTTCACTCCTCCTCACTTTGATCTCAAAAAGTTTCTTTTCTATTGCTCAGCCGGGATTCGTTCCTTATCTGTGCTTTTTCATCTCTCTTCTCAGCTACAGGTGAAGCTGAGTGCTGC